TAGCTAAACACTTTATTTCCCAGACTGACTTGCTGTTTCAAGGGGGTCAAATATAATTCTGGCCAATAAGACACAGCTACTGTTATTTCGAGAAATCTTTTGCTTTCTTGTTATGGGTGTCGCTGCTCTCTGCTTCCCCCTTCCTTCTTCCTGCTTGGGTCACAAGCATGAGGCCTGGAGCTTTAGCCACCATTCTGTGCCTGAAGTAACAAGCATCAGGACAAAAGTCAGTGGACTGAGTAGGGTGGAGCAGAGCTTGGGTCTCCGTTGGCATTGCTGAGCATCTGCGCCAGCCCTACCTGCCTACCTCTCGTCCTCCTGTTACCCTGTTATTTTCTGTTGAATAAATTTATGACGGATGCATGGTTCAATTCTTGGACAAATGTCAGCAAATTCAGTGTTAAATGTGCAAATTATCAATGATTTTTCTCCACTCTAGGAATAAGTGCCTAGGAATGGACTGGGAAGAAATAGTCCAGTTGCAATGTAACAAAGATTAAAAGATACTTAGGCACAATTTAATGAGAAAGCATGGGAGCTATGTGAAGAAAATGATAAAATTGAATTGAAAGAGTAAACAGGAGACTTTTGCTCCTAACCAAGATGGAGTGACAGGGAAGGGATTTACCTTCCTACTTGAAATAAGTGGGGGGAAAAAAAAACAAAAAAAGGATGGCATATATGAACGACGGTTTTGAAGCTCCTAACCAAGATGGAGTGACAGGGAAGGGATTTACCTTCCTACTTGAAATAAGTGGGGGAAAAAAAAAAAACAAAAAAAGGATGGCATATATGAACGACGGTTTTGAGGAAACCAGACAAGGAAGGACAGTGACCCCTAAGAGAGGAAACAAACAAGTTAGCCCCGTGATGGTCCCAGGCTGTGGTGCATGGAGAGAGAACACAGAGGAGCCCAGTGGTCTCCCTTAGTTGAGGAGACAGAGCTGAAAGTCCAGGGCGACAAGAGCTCACAGCACAAAGCACTGGAGAGAGTAGAGCTGCACAGAGAGGGGAACGTGGAATCTCTGCAGAGGGTCCCTGCAGGTATTAGGCAGAGCACTGATCACTATGTGTGTGAGGAGAGTCCGTGGGGCCAGGGAAAGAAGCACCTGAAAGGAAGGGGACAGTACACGGCACTCACACATGGCCAGGAACAGTGTTTTCTCCACCAGCCAGAATGGAAATCTTTGTAATGCATGGGGCATTGGGTAGAATACTGAGAAGGTTCTTGCCTCGGTAGTGGAGAATAATTAGCCTTAGGTTGAACCCTTTTTAGGTCTTGCCTAACAAATCTTAGAAAGTAAGAGCTTAAAGAATTCAAGTGTTTCCAAGTAAGTTAACTGCATTCCAGAACAAAGATCAAGAATAATTATTAAAAAACACAGAAACATCCAGTACTCAAAAACATCAAATTCACAGTGCCCAGCATCTAATCAAAGAAATGGGAAAATAGGACTCAGAAGGAGAAGAAAAATCAATCTAAACAGATCAAGAATTGGCACAGATGTTAGAATTAAAAGACAAGGAAATTTAAAGTTACTATAACTGTAGCCCACATGATCAAAAAGTTAAGTAGGGACATGAGGATATGAAAAGGATCCACAATGCTATGGATTGAATGTCTCCCCCCAAACTCATTGAAGCTTCATTCCCATTGTAACAGTGTTAAGAGGGTGGGAAATCAGACTATGGTATTCGAAAGGTGGGACCTTTGGGAGGTGATTAAATTGTGAGGACTCTGTCCTCATGAATGGATTAATCCGTTCATGGGTTAATGGATTAATGTTTTAATCCTCATGGAATAGACTTGGGTCTTTAATAGAAGAGGAAAAAAGCATGTGGAAAGGCCCTTGCTCAGCCCTTGCCATGTGAAACTTTGCACCACCTAGAGACTGCTGAGTCCCCCACCAAGAAGAAGGCCCTTGCCAAGGCACCCCTTGACTTTGGACTCCCCAGCCTCCAAAACTATAAGAAATGGTTTTTAAAAATAAATTATCCAGTTTCAGGTATTTTGTTATAAGCAAGTGGACTAATACACACATTGGAGATATTTTATTTCAGTCCTTCCTAACCTATCCATGGACTGATGAAATTAGTCACCTATGAAAGGAAGCCAAGTTTATGTGGGGGAATGTAGAGGATAGTGATGGGAATTGAAAATGGGGATGTTCTTCAGGTAGATGTGTCTGGGAATGGGTGATGTCAGCGACCACCTTTGGACTCTCCTGACTGCTGCTGAGTCCCTGTTAGCCATTGCTCATCCAAAGAGAGAAGAGGTGGTGGCCCTCCCCACCCCCACTGCAGCAGTCCTGGCTGGACTGTGCTGCTTCTGCCCTTTAGGACAGGGCTGCCTCATGAGCTCATTTATTTCAAAGGCCTGCTCTGAGAAATGGGGGCTTAATTATTAGTTGACTCAATCATGTCCTCTCACTCAGAGGCCCAGTGGCATAACTTCTGGCCAGGTTGTGGAACTAAACACAAAATGATCTCTCATAATTGCAATGACTTGCAGTGTAGCAGTGTTCTGGGCTGATGCTGGAGTAAGTTTGAAACCAAGGAACAGATCCCAATCTCTCCCAGCTATTCCCCTGACCCCAATCAGAGCAGGCCTTGGCTGGGGGAAAAGCTGGAGAGCTAAAGGAAATCTGCTTGAGCAAGCAGGACAGACTGGATTCCTAGAAGTAGCAAAGTCAGATAATAATAAGATAATAGTAGAGTTGATTAAATATAAACTTCTTTAGGGCCGGCCCGTGGCTCACTCGGTAGAGTGCGGTGCTGATAACACCAAGGCCCCGGGTTCGGA